TCGGTAGCCACGCCCCTAACTTGGTAGCCACGCCTCCATAATCACTCCTAATGAGCCCAAATTATCTCCTAATGAGCCCAAGCTCAATTCCAACGCCCCCAAGTTGGTAGCCACACCCCCAAAGTCGGTAGCCACACCCCCAAACTCACCAGCCACATCCTGAAAATCGATCCTAATGACTCCAAACCCGTTCCTAATGACCCCAAACTCGGTAGCCACGCCCCCAAACCCACTAGCCACGCCCCTTCCTTTCCCCCCCAGGTTTATACTACGTGGACAGCGAGGGCCAGCGCGTGGCCGGCTCGGCGTTCGCCGTGGGCTCGGGCTCGTCGTACGCCTACGGCGTGCTGGACCGGGGGCTGGCGGAGCCGGTGGCCAGCGAGGAGGAGGCGCTGGCCCTGGCTCGCCGCGCCATCTTCCAGGCGGCCACGCGCGACGCCTACTCGGGGGACAGCGTGCGCGTGCTGCAGGTGGGACCCCAGGGCTGGAGACAGGTGAGCTGCGACTGCGTGGCGCAGCTGCACGAGCGCTACGGGAAGTGAGGGGAAAACGGGGCAAAAACACGGGAATTTGGGCAAAAATAAAGTGGAATTGATCGGGAATTTTCTGTGAATTTTTGTGGTTTTTTTTGGATTTTTTTGGGATTTTTTTCAGGTTTTTCGAAGCTTTTATGGAGGGAAAAATGGGATTTTTTGGGGGAAAAAATTGGGGATTTTGGGGAATTTTTGGGGATTTTTTAAGGATTTTTTTGGGATTTTTTGGGATTTTTTGGGGATTTTTGGGGGATTTTTTGTCATTTTTTTCTGATTTTTTTTGGAATTTTTTTGGTATTTTTTTATGATTTTTTGTGATTTTTTGAGATTTTTTGGGATTTTTTTGGGGGATTTTTTTTGGATTTTTTGTGATTTTTTTGTGATTTTTTGGGGATTTTTTTTCGTTTTATGATTTTTTGGGGGATTTTTTTTGTGATTTTTTGTGGATTTTTTGTGATTTTTTGGGGATTTTTGGGGCATTTTTTATGATTTTTTTATGATTTTTTGGTGATTTTTTTGTGATTTTTTTGGTGATCTTTTTGAGATTTTTCTGTAATTTTTTTGTGATTTTTTGGTGATTTTTTTGTGATTTTTTTTGGTGATTTTTCTGTGATTTTTTTGAGATTTTTCTGTAATTTTTTAGGGATTTTCCGGGGACGTTTTGGTGTAAAAAACGGGGATTTCTTTTGGTGTAAAATTGCCATTTTTGGGGCGAGAGTCGGGGGGCAGCGAGCGCGTGCTGCAGGTGGGACCCCAGGGCTGGAGACAGCTGAGCTGCGACTGCGTGGCGCAGCTGCACGAGCGCTACGGGAAGGGAGCGGGGATTTGGGGCAAAAACACGGGAATTTGGGCAAAAATAAAGTGGAATTGATCGGGAATTTTCTGTGGTTTTTTTGTGGTTTTTTTAAGATTTTTGGGGGATTTTTTTTGGGATTTTTGGGGAAAAATTGGGGGGTAAAAATGGAATTTTTGGGGAATTTTTTGAGATTTTTTTGGTGCCTTTTTTTGATTTTTTTTTTATTTTTTGGGGGATTTTTTGGGGATTTTTTGTCATTTTTTTCTGATTTTTTTTGGAATTTTTTAGGGATTTTTTTATGATTTTTTGGGATTTTTTGGGGATTTTTGGGGCATTTTTGGGGATTTTTTTCTGATTTTTTTGTGGATTTTTTAAGGATTTTTTTGGTGATTTTTTTGTGATTTTTTTATGATTTTTTTGTGATTTTTTTATGATTTTTTTGTGATTTTTTGTGATTTTTTTGTGATTTTTTTGTGATTTTTTGTGATTTTTTTGTAATTTTTTTATGATTTTTTTGTGATTTTTTTGTGATTTTTTTTGTGATTTTTTTGAGATTTTTCTGTAATTTTTTAAGGATTTTCCGGGGACGTTTTGGTGTAAAAAACGGGGATTTCTTTTGGTGTAAAATTGCCATTTTTGGGGCGAGAGTCGGGGGACAGCGAGCGCGTGCTGCAGGTGGGACCCCAGGGCTGGAGACAGGTGAGCTGCGACTGCGTGGCGCAGCTGCACGAGCGCTACGGGAAGGGAGGGCAAAAAACGGGATTTTGGGCAAAAAAAAAAATGGGGGTTTTTGGGGAATAAAGTGGAATTGATCTGGAATTTTTTGTGGTTTTTTGTGGGTTTTTTGTGGTTTTTCTCGGGTTTTTTTTGGGATTTTTTGGGTTTTTGGGGGGATTTTTGGGGAAAAATTGGGGGGTAAAAATGGAATTTTTGGGGAATTTTTTGGGATTTTTTGGGGATTTTTTAAGGATTTTTTTGGGATTTTTGGGGATTTTTTGGGGATTTTTTGGGGCATTTTTAAAGATTTTTTTCTGATTTTTTTGTGATTTTTTGGGATTTTTTTGGGATTTTTTTGGGGATTTTGGGGGCATTTTGGGGGATTTTTTTGTGATTTTTTGGGGATTTTTTTGTGGATTTTTTTGGGATTTTTTGGGATTTTTTTGCATTTTTTTCTGATTTTTTTGGAATTTTTTAGGGATCTTTTTATGTTTTTTTTGTGATTTTTTTTGGATTTTTTGGGGATTTTTTTGTGATTTTTTTGTGATTTTTTTCTGATTTTTTGTGATTTTTTTTCTGATTTTTTTGTGATTTTTTTGAGATTTTTTTTGTGATTTTTTGGTGATTTTTTTGGGTTTTTTTTTGATTTTTCAGGGGATTTTTGGGGAAAAATTGGGGGGTAAAAATGGAATTTTTGGGGAATTTTTTGAGATTTTTTTTTGATTTTTTGGGGATTTTTTGGTGATTATTTGGGATTTTTTAGAGATTTTGTTGAGATTTTTTTGTGATTTCTTGGGGATTTTTTCGGATTTTTTGGGCATTTTTTAAGAACTTTTTTATGACTTTTCTGGGATTTTTTGTCGATTTTTTGGGGATTTTTTTTGGGATTTTTTTTTTTGGTATTTTATGATTTTTTTTTTGGATTTTTTGTGGGATTTTTTTGGGAAAAATTGGGGGGTAAAAATGGAATTTTTTGGGGATTTTTGGGGATTTTTTTGGGGATTTTTTTTTTGTTTTTTTATGACTTTTTTGGATTTTTTTTTTGATTTTTTGGGGATTTTTGGGGATTTTTTTTTATTTTTTGGGGGTTTTTTTGTGATTTTTTTATGACTTTTTTGGGATTTTTTTTGAGGGAAAAAACCGGAATTTATTCAGATTTTTGGGGAATTTTTTGGGGGGGAAAAATTGGGGTTTTTGGTGAACAAAATTTGAATTTACTCATATTTTTTTATTATCTTTATCGTTATTTTTGGGAATTTTTTTGAAGAATAATTGGTTTTCTTTAGGAAATAAAAAACGAAATTTTGAGAATTTTTTGGGGAAATTTTGTGATTTTTCAGGGAATTTTTGGGTGATTTTTGTGGAATTTTTGGGATTCTTTTTGGGAATTTTTGTGATTTTTTTTGTGATTTTTTTGGGAATTTTTGGCGATTTTTGGGGGGATTTTTTTTGGATTTTTTTGGATTTTTTGGGGATTTTTTGGGAATTTTTTTCGGGGAATTTTCGGGATTTTTTTTGTGATTTTTTTTGGGAATTTTTGGCGATTTTTGGGGATTTTTTGTGATTTTTTTTTTTATTTTTTTGGGGATATTTTGGGAATTTTTTGGGAATTTTTTGGGGATTTTTTTTCAATTTTTTTTGTATTTTTTTGGGGATTTTTTGGGATTTTTTTTGGGATTTTTTTGGGGATATTTCGGGAATTTTTGGGAATTTTTTTTGAGGAAAAACCCTGGGAATTTTGGGCCCAAACCCCGGAATTTTGGGTCTTCCCCGACCTTTCCCCCCTCCCCCGGCGCGGAAATGACGTCAGACGGATGCAAACGAGATGCAAATGAGATGCAAACGAGATGCAAATGAGATGCAAACGAGGCCACGACGTTTTATTGGCGAATTCAGCGGCGACGGCGAAAACCTGGGGGGGGGAAACTGGGAGTGACTGGTTTGAACTGGTTTGGACTGGTTTGGACTGGTTTGGACTGGTTTGAACTGGTTTGGACTGGTTTGAACTGGTTTGGACTGGTTTGGACTGGTTTGAACTGGTTTGGACTGGTTTATACTGGTTTATACTGGTTTATACTGGTTTGGACTGGTTTGGACTGGTTTGGACTGGTTTGGACTGGTTTATACTGGTTTATACTGGTTTGGACTGGTTTGGACTGGTTTAAACTGGTCTGGACTGGTTTGGACTGGTTTGGACTGGTTTGAACTGGTTTAAACTGGTTTAAACTGGTTTATACTGGTTCAAACTGGTTTAAACTGGTTTAAACTGGTTTTTACTGGTTTATACTGGTTTGAACTGGTTTATACTGGTTTAAACTGGTTTGGACTGGTCTAAACTGGTTTTTACTGGTCCAAACTGGTTTTTTCTGGTTTTTCCCCTCTCACCTTTTCTCCCTTTTCTTTTCCCCATTTTGGGTTTTTTTCTCTTTTTCCGCGGCGGCTCCGACGATTCCTGAGGGGGGGAAATTCACAAAATTCCCACATTTCAGCCCAAAATTCCCAAAATTCATAAATTTCACCCCAAAATTCCCCAATTTAACCCCAAAATTCCCCAATTTCACCTCAAAATTCCCAAATTTCAGCCCAAAATCCCCCAAAATTCCCCAATTTCACCTCAAAATTCCAAAAATTTCATCCCAAAATTCCCATTTTTTACCCCAAAATTCCCCAATCTCAGCCCAAAATTCCAAAAATCCCCAAATTTCATCCCAAAATTCCCACATTTCACCCCAAAATCCCCCAAAATTCCTGAATTTCACCCAAAATCCCCCAAAACTCACAAATTTCACCCCAAAATTCCCTAAAATTCCCCAAATTTCAACCCAAAATTCCAAAAATCCCCAAATTTTTGTCCCAAAATTCCCAATTTTTATCCCAAAATTCCCCAATTTCACCCCAAAATTCCCCAAAATCCCCAATTTTTACCCCCAAATTCCCATTTTTATCCCAAAATTCCCAATTTTTACCCAAAAAATCCCAAATTTCACCTCAAAATTCCCAATTTTTATCCCAAAATTACCAGTTTTTACCCCAAAATTTTAAAATTTCACCCGAAATTCCCCAAAGTCCCCAATTTTTACCCCAAAATTCCCCAAAATTCCCAATTTTCACCCCAAAATTCGCAATTTTCACCCCAAAATCCCCAAATTTCAACCCAAAATTCCCAATTTTTATCCCGAAATTCCCAAATTAAACCACAAGTCCAAATTTTTATCCCAAATTTCACAATTTTTACCCCAAAATTCCCAAGTTTCACCCGAAATTCCCCAAAATTCCCCAATTTCACCCAAAATCCCCCAAAACTCACAAATTTCACCCTAAAATTCCCATTTTTTGCCCCAAAATTCCCAATTTTCACCCAAAAATTCCCCAATTTCACCCCAAATTCACCAAAATTCCCAAATTTCATCCCAAAATCCCAATTTTTACCCCAAAATTCCCCAAAATCCTCAAATTTCACCCAAAATTCCCTAAAATTCCCCTTCCCTTCATTTTTCCCATTTCCCCCTGATTTTCCTCATTTTTTCCTTCATTTTTTTCCCATTTTTTCCCCACTTTTCCCAATTTTTTTTTTTAATTTTCCCCCCAAATTTTTCCCAAAATTCCCTCAATTTTTTTTCCCATTTTTTCTTCATTTTTCCCCATTTTTTCCCCATTTTTCCCATTTTTCCTTAATTTTTCCCATTTTTAACCCTTTTTTTCCCAATTTCCCCCATTTTTCCCATTTTTCCCCCATTTTTCCCCATTTCCCGCCATTT